CGACCGGTTCGACTGCACTTTGGCTTGCTCGGTCGCAGTTCATTTTGCTAAATCAGAAATAAATCTCAAAGACAAAGGCGAATAACTTAGTGACAAGCGGAAGGCTAATTAAAATCCCATTATGATAAATTTCAACCGATTAACTATAATAGATTCACAGCACTCTCGATGCTACCTCTTATGCACCTTCCATCTCCTGTCCTCTGAACAGGCACTTCTGTACTTTTCCAGGCTCGAACGTTGCTCGCGCGCGGCTGCTACTGTTCGTCCTTACATGCTACTCTCCTCATAGGAAAAACTTGTGATCGTCGATGCGTCCACGTGAAATACGTGTTCGCGCGTCTGTCCTGCCATCGCTCCAGGCTCTGGCACAAAGTGCCTGGAGTCTTGAGGGCGCCTGAGAGGCTGAGCCAAGTCGGCAACTCCGTCGGTAACCGACGATCCAGCCAGGACGTTTCTTGTATCGACCACACGAAACTATGTGCCTCTTCATGAGCCACTTAGCCACTTTGCTGACTCGGTGGATAAGCGCAATGCGCACAGCGAACGAGCACACTACGCGTCACATTGGTAACTACAAACTTCTCAAACTAAAGTCTCCTCTGAGTCGCTAGGAGTCAAGAGAACCGGAAATTTGGCCAACAATCATTCGAGCAAGCGCAAGGTTAAATTTAACGTGCATTTTCCTCCTTATTTCCCACTCACGTTAGATTGTCTTACGTGAAACATTATGCACGCTCGAACCTTATGGAGTCAGTCATGAAAATCGTCAATAACGCGAGCTGCTTATTCTCATGATTTCGAAGCTGTAGGACAAATTGATGTCCGAAAATCCAAAAATGGTGACCTGTGACAGATCTGGCATCCGAACCTTCAGGTTTAATTTCTCCTTGAATTCCCGATTAATCGTCGTGAAAATGATTTCTGACGTGCCGGATGTCTTGTCAATCGCGCTTTTAAATAAAACGTCTGTCATGTTCGTGCTGCTCACTTACTATTTCTTTTAACGAGAATAATTTCGATACGGTCGTACAAGGTCTACCGATCACTCGACGGTTTCAACTCGACTCAGGAGAAACAGTGCAGAGAGAGCATGTAAGCATGCGTGTTTGATTGGTCATTTGATCGTAAATCCTACACAACAGTTCAAGAATTCGACCGATCGAACGCGTTTGCTTCCTCAGCGTTATTTCCGCTGAACGCGCAGCTGTTGAAACCAGATGTCAAAACTGCCAAACGGTCGAAGAACAAATGCCAAGTGACCCTTAAGAATGACATACCAATGTTATGTACACATTTCGCATGACTGGGGAGATCGTAAAGAGCACAAAGTACATGACATAAGTGCAGCTTGGCAGACGAAGCTGTGAAAGCGCCTCAAAGCTTACAAACGAATTGACTCTCTCACAGGTGCGAGATAAAATTGTCCATTTAAGTGGCGAAAACACTTTCGTACGACGTTGGAAATGAAACTGCTATCCGGCAATGCGGTGTATCCCGAGATCTCAAATAATAGGATTTTTTCCCGAAAGAAATCGGTAGCAAGCGCCTTAAGGTACCTTTGAAAGTAAACCTTGAAAGCGTGTTGTTCGGGGGATATACATATACATTTCGAAAGAGTAGGGCCCAGTTTCACACGTAAAACTCTACACGGGCCAACCTTGCACGGAATAAGGGCGGATTGCCATTTCTCCGGTTTCTTGCTTTGACAACTGTGTATGGTTTTATTTTTTTTTACCAGGAACAAAATAGCGAATGAGGCTCCTTGCGCTAGCTGCTATAGTTTACACGACATGGAACTTTTTAATGGCAAGTGGGGAGGGCAGTACATACAGTTATCTCTAGACCGAGAAACAAACAAAAATTGAAGAGCGGTAAATATCGATATCTCAATTACTTCAAGAGATATACCCGAGTGCGATCTTCTCTTATTCCGCGTGGAGTTGCCCCATGTATAATTGGGATTCTTCCATTGCGAATCTCGCTCCCAGTAGTTACTCACAGTTAGCAACGAAATTGTCAGTACCGGCAGATCGCAGGATGATCGTGACGTCGTCAGTGACTTCAGTCTTTTTTTTTATTAGTGACAGCGAGAAGCTTTCAGCCGAGACGAAGCAGAGGGAGCACTGTGCTCGAGTGAGGTTAACCGGCCGTATCAGACGTCGGTATTGCAGGAATCTTGGACGTGTCAACTTAAGAATGCCGAGCACGGTCGATAAATTCTGGGAACACAGCCGAAGGTGTTGTTACACATGAATAAATGGAGTCATCGTTATCGAAGCTTATTACTGCTTTACACAGTTATTGGTAGAATCGGTAGAAAAAGGTTTCAGCCATTTTTCAAGGCTTAACCATGTTTCAATGTTCTTGACTTGTCCCAAATACGTTTGGCAAAAGGCCAACGAATGTTCAGGGATATTTAGTTAGCGCGGGTTCAGGATCAATCGGTCGTCTACTGCATTACGAAGGGGAATCGTAGGAGCGCTTGACAAATAAAATCATTAAGCAAAACTACGCAACGTGGATAGTTCCATCGCGTAGAGTTGACGTCAGAGACGATGGATTCTGAAACGACGCCCCCC